GAATATATATTCCAAATGTGGTGGTCCTAGCGCTTACTGTTCACGAGGAGTTTCTGAAGAGACAAACAGGTTCTCTCAAATACAGAGACTAGAAGATTTACCTGGCATTGCTTGGATCCTTAACTCAAATAAGTTTTGTTTTTCTTCATTTAAATCATTGTTTTGGAGTGGGGCTGGTGAAGAGGGGTTCAGTATGCAGGCTGCCCTGGGGAGAGAGGAAAAGCCCAGACCTCTCTCACTGCAACAGCTTGGGGTCAGGTGAGAAGTGTGGCTGCTGTAGCTGCAGTGGAAACAGTTGGAAGAGGAGTGCATGTCTCCCAGCTGTTGGTTGTAGTAGTCAAGGCAAAAGGCCTATATAATACAGGCAAATCATTGCAGATAGCAGGTAAAAAGCTATGATTTGTGTGGCCAAAGACAGACATAAATATAATTACTTATGGGCTGCGTCTAGACTGGCAAGTTTTTCCGCAAAAGCGGCCACTTTTGCAGAAAAACTTGCCAGCTGTCTACACTGGCTGCTTGAATTTGTGCAAGAACACTGATGATCTAATGTAAGATTGTCAGTGTTCTTGTGCAAATACTATGCTGCTTCCACTCAGGGAAAAAGCCCTCTTGCGCAAATGCTTTTGCACAAGAGGGCCAGTGTAGATGGCTAAAAACCGTTTTGCACAAAAAAGCCTCGATGGCAAAAATGGCGATCGGGGCTTTCTTGCGGAAAACCGCGTCTAGATTGGCACGGATGTTTTTCTGCAAAAAGCGCTTTTGCACAAAAGCGTCTGTGCCAATCTAGACGCTCTTTTCAGCAAATGCTTTTAACGGAAAACTTTTCCGTTAAAAGCATTTCTGGAAAATCATGCCAGTGTAGACGTAGCCTTGGGGTTACAGGAGTTGAGTAAGAAGTCTTGTGCTTGAGAGTATTTTAACATTATTTCAAAATAACTGCCTGCTGTGTAGAAGTTGGCTAAAGTTATTTCAAAATAACACTAGTTATTTTGAAATAATGTTGCTGTGTAGATCAGGGCTACTCAACACATGGCCCATGGGCTGCCTGCAGCCTGTTTGTTTGCGGCCTGCGGTCTGGTTTGGGTTTACGTGGGACTCAATATGTGGCCCGTGGGTGAGATCATTTGAACATGGCCACCACTGGGACTGTGCTCCACAAGCGTGAGGCATCTCCCAGGTGCTGTGAGCACTGAAAGATGCAAGTGGAGGGGCTGGCTGGAACAGATGTGTACAGGGTGTCGGCATTTCTAGCCCCCTAGGAGGAAATGCCAGGAGCACTGGGGCATTGTGGGAAGTGCTGGCTGCTTAAGCTTGTGGGCAGAGCTTGAGAAGTGCTAACTGGTTCATGCTGGCCATGTTTGGGTCCAAGTGCTCTGGCTTAAAGCTTAATCTTTGTATTCAGGCCCGTCAATGTCAAAAGTTACTGACACATATGTTTGCAAGTATATTCAAGCACACTTGATTTGCAACCCTGGGCATGTGCTGTGAGAACTTTGAAAGCCCCAGGGGCCACAATGCTAGAGTAGCCCTGGTGTAGATGTACCCCTCAGTAGGAAAGACCTATGTGAAAGTCCTGCCGGTGACTTGAATTGGCTATACATGAATTATCGAGACCTCCCCCCCCTTTGCAACACAGCGAGGAGGGTTTTCCGACTCACCCCTGTAGCCTTGCCATTTGGACTTGACTATGTTGTTCAGGCTTGAGTCTGTGATTTCAACTGTGGCAGGCTGAAGCACTTAACTTAGCAGTTCTAAAGTTTGCAACGACGAAGAGGCCACAACACAGAAGGGAGGGGGGGGAGAGGAAGTGGGAGAGATGTGCGAAATGATTCAGTAACACGCAGAGAGCATCCCGGGCAGGCCTGGCGCTGGGAGAGCTGAGGGGGGCAGGGGAGGAGGGACAGTGCTGCTGCGATCCATGAGATCCTGCAAGAATTCAGACACGAGCCACGTTTGCTGTGGGCTGTAATCGTGCCTAACTGTGGACGGGCTTCTCCCTCCCCGCTTCCTGCAGAATCGCGCCCTGCATCGGGGCCGGGCGCTGCTGGAGGGGGGCGGAGGAGCCTGCAAAGCTGCCCGGCACATGTTGCTCGCTGCACGGGAGGGAGGAAAGGGGCCCCGCTTGCAGGCCCTTCGTCAGACACGAGCCACGTTTGCTGTGGGCTGTAATCGTGCCTAACTGTGGACGGGCTTCTCCCTCCCCGCTTCCTGCAGAATCGCGCCCTGCATCGGGGCCGGGCGCTGCTGGAGGGGGGCGGAGGAGCCTGCAAAGCTGCCCGGCACATGTTGCTCGCTGCACGGGAGGGAGGAAAGGGGCCCCGCTTGCAGGCCCTTCGCGGGATCGGGTGTTTTTAAAGGCTGGAGTAGGAAAAGGCAGCAGCTGCGCCTCGCAGGCGGCTTCTAACCGCAAGGAGCCCGGCGGCAGGGGGGAG